GAAGAGCCTAGAAGAGGCGCCAAAAATGTTAGCACTATAGAAACATATTTTGCTCTGGTTATTTGGTTTGAAGTAAGAAGATTTAAATTTCAACCTAGTGTGTTAGGAAGTTAAGTAACTGTGTGACATTTATCTGGTATAATTTAAAGATGAAAAAAGATAAACAGTACTAAAATCTGTTCAAAATGAAAAAATATATGGTATAGTGCAATTCCAATTTACATGGGTTTGTCAATATCTATTTAAACAGTGATAAATGGATTTCAAGCAATCTCTCACCTGATAAGTACATGCTTTAACTGATGAATAACCACTCTCATTTAGAAGATAAGGACTTGAACCAGAACTATTTTCCACATCCATGGATTCAGATAATGAAGCTATTTTTGTGTCATGATTATCTTCATGAGGATCAATGTTAACAAATAATCTGGAATCTGAAAGGAAAGACCTCAAGAATTAATTATAACGTAAAAAGCATTCAAAATAAATTTCATATGTAAGTGCTGTGTTGAAATTACAGTAGAGCATCGTTTATCCAAATCAATTGAGGACTATGGTTGTTTGGATAACTGATTATGTACGAAAAAATATATTAACCTATCCCATGCTGAAATTTTTCTCCGTTGCGTGTCGCTTTGTGTTGAATTTTCGTTAATGTTAAACCTAACGTAAATTTTTATAATAATTGTGGTTATTGTATTGTTAAAAATGATTTCTTTATTTTCTACAAACAAAATAAATATATTGAAAAATATAAAAACAAAAAAATAATACTTTATAAGTTAATCTAGTATTAAAAACGTTCAATTCAGCACGACACACGACCAGACACAGTCCGAAGAAAAACACCACACAAAAGTGCCAGTGCTGCCAGCTAAAACACTGGCTTTCAGATAAATGATGCTCTACTGTAATATATACAGTAGAGCATCAATTATCTGAATGTTGATCAACCGAAACATCAATTATCCGAAAGCTTTCCAATTGGCAAATTTAAATTTCTGCTAGTGCTGTGGTGCTGCAATCTTTGGCTATGTCTTAGGCTACTCCAATATTATTTTTGTTGGTGCACATGTTTTAGCTGGCAGTACTGGTGCGACCGTGAGAGGATACTTACGGATGTGCCAGGATTTGAACGAATTTCAACTTGGGATAGGTTAATATATTTTTTCGTACATAATCGGTTATTCGAAAAATTTATTATCCGAACAGCCCCAGTCCCCAATTAATTCGGCTAATCAATGCTCTACTGTATTTAGAATACACATTTCGGGAATAACATGCCCCTCTTCAGCCAACTCGGGATTATTTATAAATTGGGTATCATGGATGAATACATATTTATACAGCTTACACATTTATTGTCTATCTTCGTTGTTTTCTTTTTTGGGTGACTAAATTAAAAGATGGATGTACCGTCAGTACAAGATTTTTTGCTTACATCTGTATTCTTGTATTTTTTTCTTTTTTCTTTGAAGAGGGCATGTTATGCCCTAAATGTGTATTTTAATTTCAAATTTTTCATTTTTTTGAGCAATTCTAGCAGCTGTTTTATGCTGTAATCATGTGGAGACATGTGTGTATTAATAAAGCCTTTGAGTAATCGTTCTAGTAATATAATAGGTGAACAGCATTTATCAACCACTAGTCTTATGCTTTTTTCCAGTTATGTGTCTTGGCAAACCTGAAGTCTAGGAACTGATGGAGAGATGACTACTATTTTCTTCATTCCAAGTTATTTTGCAAGAGTTGTGTTAGAAAAGTGTTTGACTCTTATCTGTAACCACTCCAGAGCATGTGAGTGGGCAGTCTTCATTGTGTTTCTTTTATGTATTTTAATAAAAGCTCGTTATATGTAGATCTAAATACACTCAAACAAACCTTTACATATGCAGCCGTAATTTAATAGATAAATTCAAACGTTTTCGACCATATTCAATGGCCTTTATCAAGAAAAACTGAAAAATCGAACTTCGAATTAAAAATTTGCGTTACCGATACAAGCGTTATCTTTGGAACGTTTTTAAAAAGATATTCTATCGTATAAGCGCCATCTCTACATATTGGCTATAAATACCAGTAAATACATTAAAACCACAATAAAGTGTTAAAATAATGCCCGTAAATACATTAAAATACAATAAAGTGCACATAGAAACAAGAGTTAAGAGAGTTGCCGCTATGCTATGCATGTTCGCCATGCTGCCGATATTTTGCTTGCATCCCGGAAGTTGATAGCTAAACCTTTTTGGCTTGTTTTGCAGATATGCCAGGCTTCGGCGTATCTGAGGTGCTTTCTGTCGCGTACTATTTGTACCAATTTAGCTTGGTCCCACT